TGCGGTGAGGAAGTTGTGCCACACAACAAACACAATTACCTCTATATTTAAGCACTGTTATTCAGGATGAACCAGAATTTAAGTCTTATTTATGGATGAGACGAGATGCTTCTTTGGACTTTGGTTTGCTTAGAGTTTGGTCGAACTTATATGAAGGGTGTTTTATTTTTTGTTTAATATAAGTGCAGGGTGTTAATTATTAGTGACAATTGCCTATTTTCCATTTTAAATAAGAAAATATCAGTTAATAACAATAATAATAATAATAATAATAATAATAATAACTTTATTTGTATAGCACAATAACTATATTGATGTAAAAATATCAACAACAAATAGTAACAGCAAAAGAAAAACTAACCTCTTATGTGTTTTTTACAAAACACCTGTAAGTGAGGTCTACTGTCTGGGGAAAAATGTACAGGAAATGACGCATTTACACTTGCAGAAGCAAAACAATCAAACTCATTTGAATAAACCAAAGGAAAAAAAGAAACCACAACACTCTAGGAGTCTCATATAGCACGCTTAGCTCATGTCAGCATGAGACAGTGCTTGGAAATATCACCAAAAAGGTCACTGAAATTAAGGAAATAAGAAAAGCTAAAAAGTTTACAACTGTTCTGACATGTTATATGCCACTTCGGCACGTAGCTGATGACTGCTGGTAAATTCCCATCCCTCTTCCCTGACTGTTATCTTCATGCTGTTTGGCAACCCCCTCAGGGAGGGCAGGTGTAGCCAGCTTGGATTGACAGTGGCTACAGTGGATGGCAATGGAGTCCGTCCAATGGATTTCACCTAGTTTCACTGTGAAAAACATGTATCTAACTGTCTGTGGAAACAATGAGGAAGTGTAACTACCAAATGTGAAATCTACAATACTGTTCATGCTGGATCAAGTCAGCTAAAAATAGCCTCTTCCCTGAAAGTGCCCATCATCAGTTTACAAGGAAGCATTATGAGTGCCAAGAACAGTTCCACACCTTTTATGATCAGGCTGTAAAATTTACTGACAGAACAAGGATTCTAAGATAAAGATCATATGGACTGCAACGTGCAAGTCACCTGCCTCAGTACGTCTGTTTATCACCAAGGACGTGTTCTCTGGATACATAAAATGCACACAATCATCAGTTATCCATGGAAATCCTTCAACCAGCACCAAAACAGACTTGTTTTTCTTACCTGAATGTTTTTACAGCCATAATGTTGGTGGAACATGATCCTGCCCTGCAAATATTATTTACATTTTATTTTCAACAAACATACAGTTTTTGGTTTGTGAGCCACATCCAATAAAATGAAACAAAATACATTTATAGTTACACTTCTCTTAAAAAGATTTATGAATAAGTTAAAAAGTAGACCTGAAGATAGGTATAGATGGGTCCATAAACCTATAAACAAATCATCATCAAATTATCAAAACAAAATCATTCAACATACAAACAATAGACATTAGATTTAGTATACTGACAACAACTACTGACTAACAATAACCCTTATAATAAAACACTGTTCTTGTGCATTTTTCATAGATCAACATATTCTCCATGAGCTGGAGAGGAGGAAGATCCTGGTATACACGCCGTCCCGCTGTGTGAACGGTAAGAGGGTGGTGTGTTACGATGACCGGTACATCGTCAAGCTGGCCTTCGATTCCGACGGCATCATTGTGTCCAACGACAACTACCGTGACCTGCAGACAGAGAATCCCCAGTGGAAGAAGTTCATAGAGGAGAGGCTGCTGATGTACACCTTCGCTAATGACAAGTAAGACAGATGGCAGCTTTAGGTTACCAGTGTGTGTGAGGGGCACCTCCTCTGCAAACTGGTTAAAGTGGAGGTTCATTTGTGCCCCAACATAACAGCACACGTTCAGCTAAAGTCACCTGATCCTGACTGTGTTTCTGTGCTGCTGTAGATTCATGCCTCCAGATGATCCTTTGGGTAGAAATGGCCCCACCATTGATGATTTTCTGCAGAGGAAGCCGTGGACCACGGACAACAAGCTGCAGCACTGTCCTTACGGTAGGCTCACATTTCTTTTTCACCTAACAACAAACCCAACTGCTCAGATTACACTTCCTTGTACTCTCCCAGGGGATTAAAACAGCAGCTACACAATAGACACAATATAATAAGAACCAGTTTAAGGAATACAAAGTGTGTGATCAACACTTGGGTCTGTGACATTTTCATGTAAATTAATATCTGTTGTGATCCTCTCTACTGCTTATCTGTATTACAAAGCAGCAACTGAACATAGAAACAATTCACAGCTCTTATTTTTTATCACCAGGGGCCAGATGTAGAAATGAGTACACACATAAGAACATTCACATACTCATGTACACTGATATTTGTAGAAAATGATACACAGTGTCATGTCATGATGTGAAGCAACTAAAATCAGGCCAAGCAACCAAAGTTTGCCCATTTGCAGCACCAGTAGATTCAGACCTGCAGTTCTGCTTCAAATTGCAGATGTAGATCGTGCAATTGTGCACCACCTACAGGAAAGAAAAGTAAAAGCTATTTTGACACTAGTGCCACTTGAAAAATAAAGCAGAGCTCTGACTGTGGCTATAGCCACTGGCTGTGACCACTGTGAACAGTGGCTACAGTGGCTGTGATTGCCTACTCCAACAGCACATACATTTGGACAATATAGTGCTGTAGAGCCAGACACTTTGCTTACAGTATCACAATATATTGAATTGTAACCCCTGTATCGTGATACGTATCGTATCGTCAGATTCTTGCCAATACACAGCTTTAGTACTTCTATCAGATATGCCTAATGTGTTACAAGTACACCCCAGAAGTTTAGGAATAGCTTCACCTCAACACTCAGTCATTTCAAAAACTAACACAGCCTCACTAACAGCCAATAGCAGCAACCATAGCCATAATCACAGTCTGAATCAGCCTCAACAGAAGCCACTCATAACATTTGATAATTAGCACTAAACACAAAGTATAGCTGAGGCTAATGGGAATGTCATAATTCTAACAGATATATTGGTCAAAACGCAAACCAAAAATATCCAACATATTAATATGGAAAGTCAGGGATTACACCATGATTAAACTATATAACTACATAATCACATGAGCTGTAATGGCTGACCAATCAATGGAGTCCCACCATCAGAAACTCTCTCATCAACAGAAAAGCCCCCCCAGAAATTGGGTTGTCAATCTGGGAATTGCAAGGCAGAAACAGATTGCCCAGAGTATTTTTTAGATTATCAAACTGGTTTAGAAAAGATTTCATCAGACCAAAATGTTTTCTCAACCCATAGAGGAAGTCCCAAAAGATTGTGAGTCAACTGAAAACTAGAAACAGAGTTCCAAACTGTAAAAATTTCTGGCCTTGCATTACTTCTGCGAGAAAATTTCCATCTGCTTTCACTGAACTATGATGTCAATACAGCATAATCTTTTCTAGATAAGAGATTAATTCATCCGACCTTGTATTTACTGATTGAAGTACAAATGGGGACACACTCAACAGGGAACTGACTCTGTTCTGTTTCAAGCACCTAGTTTTGAAACTTTAGGTGTGTTATGACCAAAACTAAGTTTGTTTGGAACGTGAAATATAGACTTTCCTTCTTAAACCGGTTCCATTCAAGATTCTTGGAACCTTGGTGATATGTAGCGAACCCCCTCGTGCTTCCACCAGTTTTGAACAGAACCATTGTAATCAAGGATGTGTCATCAACAGAGGGCGCTGCACAATGCACACTGACCTGTTAAATTATGTCATGATCAATGACAGCCATTTTGGTTCCAAAAGAAAACCTGAATGGAGCCAGTTCCCTGTTGGTGGAAAAAGCCTAAGAGAGAAGTAAAGCCAGTAGGAGGTGCTGTTTTTTTGGGGGGTCTTTCCTTACTCTTTGTTGACTCCTGACTGGAGCATTTGAAACCATCTGTCATGAAGAGATTAGCTGCCTGTCCGTCAGGGATTGCGCCTGAGAGACAGCAGTAATAGCATCCAGCTAATTTGTTTACAAAGCCTACAGTAGTGAAGGGTTATAGACACACACGTCCCGTGTTGACAGTTTGTTGAAGAGATACGGGTTTACAGCTGTGGATCCCATGAATAACCTCTTGTTTCTTTCTTTACAGGAAAGAAGTGTACTTATGGAGTCAAGTGCAAGTTCTACCATCCAGAGCGCACCAACCAATCCCAGCTATCTGTGGCCGATGAACTGAGAGCGCTGAGAGACAGAGCCAAGAACTTCTCGCCCAAAACGAGCCTGCAGGACGCACAATGCTTCCCTGCCTTGTATCAGCCAGAGCGCGGATACACCTCATCCACCCCTCCACCTCTCAGCACAGAGGATCAGTCCCACAGGACTTCACCAAGCCAGCAGTTCTATCAGAGAGACAGCAGCAGCCCGAGAAGCCATTCAAACACCAGCCTCCACCACTGCTCCAGCCCGGATGTGGACGAGGCCTTCAGCTCCATGGACAGCTCCATGTCCAGGCTCTTCATCCAGGATGTGCCCTATGGCACAGAGCGCCCTCTCCACAGCTACAGCAGCGGGGTGGCTAGCTACAGCCTGAGCCATGACGACTACTCACTCTCAGGGTCATTTGGCGGGAGCACCCAGAGGCCCTGCCTGAGCGGAGGAGGTTACTACCCTCATCAGAACAGTTCCATGTCCTGTCAGCACCCCGTGTGCAGCCAGTGCAGGTGTGGTCACCAGCAGGCCAGAATGTCCCAGCACCACAACCACCAGCCAGCATGGGGCTCCTGCCCAGCTCTGCCTCCACATAACGGGGACTATCCTGGCCATTTTTCAGAAAAGCAGTACTTCAGACAGCCCTCGAACAGACACTGCAGCAGCTTACCAAGGGACCCATGGGTGCAGGGTGGCCCCTCTGACGGCAGGCTGAACGGACGGGCCAAGAGCCCGTCATGCGAGCAGAGGAAGGGCCTGAGGAGCCAGCTGAGCACCCTGTTCCCTCAGAGCATGGTGGAGCAAGTCATGAATGCTTACCCACACGTCTCAGACATGTCTGAACTGATTTCTCTCATCCAGAGCAACAGGACGAGCCAAATCTCCTTCTAGATTAGAAAGATTATTTTTTTTTTGTTTTTTGCTCAAACTGAGCCCACATTGGAGTTCTCATCCCAGAAGCAAAGTGAAAAACGACTGTGAATTTGCATTATTATGACTCATACTGTGGGAAAACTCTTGCAAAACACATTCCAAACTTAGCCTTTATTTTAGCATTAAAAAGTGACTCAATCTGAGGAAGTCTTGAACATGTAGCAGACTGAATGTTATTTCTTTATTATAGTATAAAAGTGCAATGCACTACGCTCCGTACATGCTACTTATTGTAGCACTGACAAATGTTTTATTAAAGCAGCATGTGTTGTTTTCTCATGTTGCCTCAAAGTGAGGAACCCTTATTACACTATTTTGTATTTCTGTAAAGAATGTCAACAGTTTTTGATATGAATTTTAGAAGCTTGTTTTTTTTCTATGCCTGTGAAATAAAAGCACTTCAATCACTGGATGGATGTATGAAATGTTCCTTATAGGTGGGTAAGATTATTCTACAATATATTTTAAATTAACACTGATTTCAATGTGGAACTGCTGCTGCACTGCTGTCTGGGGCTTGAAACTCTCACAATCATATCAATAATGACACAGCAGGTGTTTTTCATCAGTTATCAAGGCCAAATATCTGCTGCAACACGCTGAGAGGTCTGAGCCAGTGGAGGAGCACTTTTGAACCTTTTGATTTTAAAGATCCCCTCAAACATGTTTTAAAACATATATACAGATAGTGTGCTTGGAACAAGAATGTGTGTTGGATATGTGTTTTCCACAAAAAAGTACAATTTCCACATTAAAATCCTTAAAAAGTCATAGTCAAAGTCATGTCATTCTACCTCATTAAAACTTCCAGAATCTCTTAATATGCAAATGTTGTTGAAGTTTTCCTGCTGGACACAAGATGTCTCCTACTTCACTGTAAAGTCCATTCTCAGTGGATGTGCACTGGTGGCTTCAAGTTTCTACATCACACTGTACAAGTTGAT